GTATTCTGTAATGCGATATATCACGGTAATGAATATGCACGATATTGTTATCGTGGGCACTTCTAAATACCGTGAATAATTATATATTACAAATTATTCCGAATTTTGAATGCATTTTAAGAATACTTTTCCCATCAACTGGTCAAAATGCACAACACCGCTGTATGCTGCGTGAAAGACGCGTGCGCACTCTGATGTAAACAAGCGCGGACGAGAAGCACATGGCGGAACATGTGAGAGACGCTCTGGATGAAAGCGCACTTTCACTCTCTGACAGCAGATGGCGCTAAACTGCAGAAATAATAATAATAATAATAATTCATTTAAATGCAGCCGTTACCCCGGAAACCCTGTAAACAAAGCAGCTGCACTACTTTCTGTTTTTGAAAGGTGTTTAAATGATTTAAACAGCCATTCAGATTTGTGTATTTGCTATGATGTTCATCACAGCGCCACATACTTACATATTTAGACTTAATAGGCTATTTATTTTCAAACTTTTTTTTACATTTTAATCTGGACTACAACATTCCCTAGATATTGTTTGAAAGTGTTTTGATTCTTTATTGTTCGGTCACACTTTACATTAGGGCTTCATTAGTTAACATTAGTTAATTCATTAGTTAACATAAACTGCCAATGAAAAATTCTTCTGAACATTCATTAATCTTAGGTATTCCAATATTTAATAACAGGATGTTAAAATCGAGAGTTGCAGCTGTGTTATTTAATGAGCTAACATGAACTAAGACTTGTGTTTTTTTAAACAAAGATTAATAACTTCAGTAGCAAATGCTATTGCTCATTGTGAATGTTAATGTATTAACTAAGGTTAACTAATGAGGTCTTATTGTAAAGTGATACCTATTGGTCTTTATAGTTCTTTTGCACTTTAATCTGTGTAAAACTTTTGACTTTATACATTTTTCTGTATTGCTTTATTGCATTTAAATGTTCAGTTATTTTTGTTATAAGAAAAAAGGTATTAAACCTGTTATACTGTATTATGACAGCACTTTTTTTTAACTTAATTTCAATATTGTGATAATACCGTATACCGTGATAAAAGCATTAGCAATTAATCGCAACATGAAAATTTGATACCGGCATATCCATAGTTGTAGCAATAATGAGCAAGTTAAGGCATGTGAGGATGAGTGACTAACTTCCTGTGTGAAATTAGTTTAATCTGCATCTCTGCTGATGACTGATGACTCTCCTTTCATGACTGTTGGCTTGCCGTTGGAAGTCTGCACTACAGTTATTGTGACACGTAGAAACAGTAGAGACTGTGTATGTATGCTGCAGATGACGGTCTAACGGCTACATCTGCCATTGATGTGTCAATGTTGAGTGGGCATTTATTAGTTGTTTTTTGTAATCATTGTTTCTCTGCTGAAAGTTTATATTGTCAGCTGAGTACTTTTCAGTGTAGATGACCTTAAAGCTAGTAAACAGATTAAAAGCCACAAAACTCCAATTTCATGGTTTTCAAAACTGTGTCAGTTTCTTCTCACTACACTCTCAGTGCAATGGGTGCATGTTTTGTATTTTTCTCTTGTGCTTTGAACACTTCTAGCCTCAGGTAAGAGTGCGATTCATGTTTTCCATTAGCTGTTATGGGCCAGAGGTCATGAAAGTAGATCAGCAGGAGATGTTATGAGCACTTAGATGCCTTGTGGAAGATGTCTTGTAAAACGACGCTTCTTCCTTGAGGTTTCTGGAATGTCCCGGTGTCAAGGATATATGTGTACTGATATTAGTATTGAAATGTTATTATATAAATTATTTATATATATTGTTAACATTTAGCCTAAATATAAATTACTATTTAAATTTTATTATAATTGTTTTTTTAAATGTAATTTATTTCTGTGATGCAAAGCTGAATTTTCAGCATCATTACTCCCCATGGTCCTTCAGAAATTATTCTAATATTCTGATTTGCTGCTTAAGAAACAATTTTTTTTTATTATCATCAATATTGAAAATGGTTGTGCTGCATAATTTTCTTTGAAACTTTGATGTACTAGCAGCACTACCATGCGAATTATAAGATTATATAAAAATAAATAAATTAATTCATACTTCTATTCAGCAAGGATGCATTAAATTGATCAAAAGTGACAGTTAAAAAAATATATTATTTTAATAATGTGTTGTAGTGCCAATTATTGAATAATACAGTGAATTAAATGCTTGTTTACAGATGAAAGGTTTAATCAAGTGATGTGATATTTGATATGGTCTAACCTCTAACTAGATATAGGGTGTTCAATTAATTTAATTTAATCAAGTATATTTAGGTTTATAATGGCTCTGGATCTTACCTTCTTGATGAACAGGAAATTTAGTTAGTTAAATGTAGTAAAGCTGCAAATTATTTCTTTAACGTCAGCTGCCTCCGTAATAATTTTCTGATACATACAAGTGAAAATCAATGCACGACATAAATTATAAATGAATTATTATTAATTATTCGGCAGAATATTAGCGAAAGTGGTTTTCTCCGTTATCTCATACATGACGTAAGCGTGCTCCGGCCCGGAATGTTTAGTGCAAGTGTGAGTGCAGGCCAGCGGGGGAGGGGGGATAATCGCGCTCTGGCTCGGTTCAAGGCAACCGTGCCTAATGTGAGTACACGGCTAACCATTTGAACGTTAACCCAGTGCCTTTTTCTCAGATGATTAACCATATACACTTGCAGGAAAAAAGGTACAAAAGTTGCCACTGGGATGCTACCTTTTCAGAAGGTACACCTTTGTACCTTATTTACCCCGAAAGGATGCATGATGTTAACTTAAAGATACATATAGTAGTACCTAAATGGTACATATCAGGACCTAAATGGTATATATTAGTACCATTTAAAAAGTTACCGCTCCAGTTGTACCTTTTTTTCTGAGAGTGTATGAAACACTTTCTACAGGAAGTGAGAAAAGCGCAGGCGAGCATGAATGCGATCTACTGTATGTTTTTTGCTCTTTGTGCTGATTCACTCCTGTTAGACCCAGTTGAAACGCTGTGATTATTTTGGCCCAAGGTTTATCATTATGGATCACTGCTTCCTAACTATGTGCTTCAAAGGGGACGGACTTGTTTTTCTTTTCACCAGACTGCAAGAGGAACGGTTTGAACATATGATGAGGAGAAGGTTGACATTTAGATCTAAGCTCAATATGATCTGTACATACAGTACTACTATAGTATAAAGCAGGGGCGTAGCCATCATTTCAGAAGTGAGGGGGACAGAAATGAGAATTTCCTCGTACGACTTTCTGCGCGAGAGCGCCCTCCGGCTTTGAGTATGAATGAAACATACACTGCACGGAATGTTTAGCGCTTCGTGATGTTCATCTCGCCTTATTCTGGGTCCGAATAAAACATCAGATCATGCACAGACTCTCCTGTCTCTTTGAATTTAAATCTATATTTATTCACACCGGCTGTTGAAACCCTCTATGCGAACACACTTGCCCGAAAAAGTGCGGGGGACGAATTTACGTGATATTAAAAGTGGGGGGGACACGTCCCCCGTGTCCCCCGCGTAATCTACGCCCCTGGTATAAAGGATTACGTCTTGTGTGATTTATGACAACAGAAGCCTGGGTTTGACTCCAGAACAGTTGTGCAACCGGGATGTGTAACATGTCTTAGATTTTGGACAGTGTTTTGGAATGGTCAACAAACTCTTGCATCACTCCTGGCAGCATTAATATCAACCAATGATGCTTTAAATAAAGTCTGAGAGGACTGATACTGTGACATTTCCCACAGCCTTTATTAGTTTTATGAGCGTCAGATAAAGACGTGGGCTCGCCTCGTTTCTCCTTGCTAACACAGTAATGGCAGAGGGCATGTCTGTTAAACATTTACTTTACTTTTCTCCTGGAACGGTGAGTTTTCTGTTGTTCGATTTCAACAGGACATTGATGTTCGTGTCTTTATTGTAAAGCGTCTTCAAGTGTTTTTCTGCTCTTTCTCTTGCAGTGGGGTCGGGTGGCCATGGACCCCTTCAGCCAGCTGATCCTGCTCATCTCGGTGGTGAGTTTTTGCACTTTCCAGTGGCTCTTTCATAGCGTGAGCCCCTGGGCATCGTCCAGAATCAGCCCTGGCTTCCTCAAACTCACCCACAAACAGAAGATCGAGTGGAACTCAAGGTACACAAACATGATTTGTGCCGTCTGTTTGAGTGCTGGGACTAGTTCTGCATTTCCCTTTCCATGTATTACCTTCTCATGTTCAGTGTTTCTTAAATACAAAAGAGTAATTGCAAGCTGTATGTGTTTGATTCACTAAAAAGAACTGGCTCACAAGAGTCATGTGTTTAGGAATCGGACTACACTGGTTGCACTGTGTGGTTCTGATTCATTAAAAGAACTGACTTGGAAGACTTATTCATTTGGGAATCACATAAACATAACTAGTTGCACTGTATGTGTTTGATTTGCTAACAAGGTCCAGCTCAAAAGACTAATTTGTTCAGGAATCATTTAGAAAACAGGTCAACCTGTATGGTTTTGATTCACTAAAAAGAAATGGCTCTTAACGAGTCAGTTGTTTAGGGATTGGACTACTCTGGTTGCACTGTGTGGTTCTGATTCATTAAAAAGAACTCGCTCAAGACTAATTCATTTGGGAATCATTAAGATATAACTGGTTGCACTGTATGTGTTTGATTCACTGAGAAGAACTGGATCATAAGAGTCATAATGGTTCTGATTCCCCATTCACTAAAATTCTGATTCCGATTCACTAAAAACAAAATGGAATCATTTGGAATATCTCAGCATACTGTATGGTTTTGATTTACTAAAAACAACCAGCTCGAGTCATTTGTTCAAGAATCAGATTACACTGGTTGCACCATATGTTTTTTTTTTATTTACTGAGAAGAACTGGGTCAAAAGACTCGATCATTTAAATGATTCCTTAATGAATGTTTTTGATTCACTGAAAAGAACTGGCTCACAAGAGTCGTTTGTTTTGAAATTATGCTACACTGGTCATATTGAGTGGTCTTGATTCACTAAAAAGAACTGACTCAAAAGACTGAATCGTTCAGTAATCTCTTAGACATCTCTTAGCTTTCTGGTTCACTAAAAAGAACCTGCTCATAAGACTCAATTGTTTGGGAATCAGATTAAACTGGTTGCACTGTATGGTTCTTATTTACTAAAAAAGAATGCACTCAAAAGATTTGTTCAGGAATCATTTAGATATAACTGTTCGCACTGTCTCACTGATTCACTGGTTCATAGGAGTCATTTGTTTAGAATTCAAACTCCAATACAATTACAGTTATACATGCAATAACATCAAACTATAATAACTGTTCTTAACAGGCAGCATGTTAAATATCGCCAGTGGACTCGCAGCGGTGCTTCAAATATTTCCCTGTTAAATGTCTTATCAGAAGATTACGCTGTGGAGAGCAGGTTGTAAGCTGTCGCTCAAAATCACTAACGTATGCGTAAAGAAACTGGCAAGAGGTGAAGATGGCAGCGATAATGCTCATTTCAGCGGGCTGTCAAGAGAACAGCCAGCTGGAGGAGATCTTAGTTGTAGGACACAGTGCCGAGTTGATTGACCGCAGCCAATCGCTCCGTTTCGATTGTTTCAACTTTACATTATTCTATGGGAGAAGCAAACCACTGTTAACACTGTTGTCATGTGATAAAACCTTTTGTGTCTCTGCAGGACTGTGTCCACGCTCCATGCCCTGTTGGTCGGCCTCTTCTGCCTCTACATCCTGTTCTTCGATGAGGCCGTCAATCAGGACCCCGTATGGTGAGCGCTCGACCCGTCACGCTGCATGCTGGGAAAGCGCTGCTCTTCACAGACGAGCAGGACGCTTTCAGTAACTGTTTTAAGGTGATCTTGCAGTAATCTCAGTGCCTTGTCCTCATCTTTACCACAACAGGGGAGATCCTACTCTGGTGAAGATAAACGTGAGCATTACTACAGGCTACCTCATATCTGGTGAGAGCTTACGGCATATGTCTGATAGTGTTTGGAGAGTTGCATCATGCATGGAAATGCAACTTAAATACAAAAGAGTAATTGCAAGCTGTATGTGTTTGATTCACTAAAAAGAACTGGCTCACAAGAGTCATGTGTTTAGGAATCGGACTACACTGGTTGCACTGTGTGGTTCTGATTCATTAAAAGAACTGACTTGGAAGACTTATTCATTTGGGAATCACATAAACATAACTAGTTGCACTGTATGTGTTTGATTTGCTAACAAGGTCCAGCTCAAAAGACTAATTTGTTCAGGAATCATTTAGAAAACAGGTCAACCTGTATGGTTTTGATTCACTAAAAAGAAATGGCTCTTAACGAGTCAGTTGTTTAGGGATTGGACTACTCTGGTTGCACTGTGTGGTTCTGATTCATTAAAAAGAACTCGCTCAAGACTAATTCATTTGGGAATCATTAAGATATAACTGGTTGCACTGTATGTGTTTGATTCACTGAGAAGAACTGGATCATAAGAGTCATAATGGTTCTGATTCCCCATTCACTAAAATTCTGATTCCGATTCACTAAAAACAAAATGGAATCATTTGGAATATCTCAGCATACTGTATGGTTTTGATTTACTAAAAACAACCAGCTCGAGTCATTTGTTCAAGAATCAGATTACACTGGTTGCACCATATGTTTTTTTTTTATTTACTGAGAAGAACTGGGTCAAAAGACTCGATCATTTAAATGATTCCTTAATGAATGTTTTTGATTCACTGAAAAGAACTGGCTCACAAGAGTCGTTTGTTTTGAAATTATGCTACACTGGTCATATTGAGTGGTCTTGATTCACTAAAAAGAACTGACTCAAAAGACTGAATCGTTCAGTAATCTCTTAGACATCTCTTAGCTTTCTGGTTCACTAAAAAGAACCTGCTCATAAGACTCAATTGTTTGGGAATCAGATTAAACTGGTTGCACTGTATGGTTCTTATTTACTAAAAAAGAATGCACTCAAAAGATTTGTTCAGGAATCATTTAGATATAACTGTTCGCACTGTCTCACTGATTCACTGGTTCATAGGAGTCATTTGTTTAGAATTCAAACTCCAATACAATTACAGTTATACATGCAATAACGTCAAACTATAATAACTGTTCTTAACAGGCAGCATGTTAAATATCGCCAGTGGACTCGCAGCGGTGCTTCAAATATTTCCCTGTTAAATGTCTTATCAGAAGATTACGCTGTGGAGAGCAGGTTGTAAGCTGTCGCTCAAAATCACTAACGTATGCGTAAAGAAACTGGCAAGAGGCGAAGATGGCAGCGATAATGCTCATTTCAGCGGGCTGTCAAGAGAACAGCCAGCTGGAGGAGATCTTAGTTGTAGGACACAGTGCCGAGTTGATTGACCGCAGCCAATCGCTCCGTTTCGATTGTTTCAACTTTACATTATTCTATGGGAGAAGCAAACCACTGTTAACACTGTTGTCATGTGATAAAACCTTTTGTGTCTCTGCAGGACTGTGTCCACGCTCCATGCCCTGTTGGTCGGCCTCTTCTGCCTCTACATCCTGTTCTTCGATGAGGCCGTCAATCAGGACCCCGTATGGTGAGCGCTCGACCCGTCACGCTGCATGCTGGGAAAGCGCTGCTCTTCACAGACGAGCAGGACGCTTTCAGTAACTGTTTTAAGGTGATCTTGCAGTAATCTCAGTGCCTTGTCCTCATCTTTACCACAACAGGGGAGATCCTACTCTGGTGAAGATAAACGTGAGCATTACTACAGGCTACCTCATATCTGGTGAGAGCTTACGGCATATGTCTGATAGTGTTTGGAGAGTTGCATCATGCATGGAAATGCAAGACATTTTATTGTGATGTTATTCATATTTATTGTAATCTGATTTGAAAACTTAAGTGAATTTGTTGTTCTAATGCTCTTGATTGCTTTTTGGGGGGTTTAATAGTAGATGGATTATATTTAAATTGTTGGTCAGACCAGTTTCACCAAAGAAACGCCTCAGTAGCCACACTTCATCATCTCTGACTATTTTAACCTGCAGATGATTCTGTAAATTCATTATTATAATTTCATGTTTTTGAAGGATGATCAATTTTTTTATTTTTAATTTTTTTTTATTAAATGTTTTAGTTTAGTTTTATTTGCACTTGGTGATTGTTTAGCTTTTTTCTCAATTAGTTTTGTTTTTTTATACTTTGAGTTTTAATTATTTTCCTCATGGCTTGTTACAAATTATTTGACCAATTTAATGCATTTATGTATTTAATGTACATAAGCTGAAATTTGACTAGTTTATCAGTAACTGATGGAGAAAGACCCAATAGCATTTTTTGTAAAGGCTTTATAATAATACTCCAGAATGTGTTAATTTTAACATTTAATAATAAATGTTTTTAAAATTAAGTATGAACAAACAATTAACAATTGTATTTTTAACAAAATACAATTTTAACTAACTTTAACAAAATTAATAAAATGCTGTAAAAATATATTGCTTATTGTTAGCTAATGCATTAACTAATATTCACAAACGAGACAGTATTGTTTATTATTAATCAAAATTAAATTAGACCTTTATTATAATGTATTTTATTTTAGTCTCAGTTTTTCAAATGATATTTATTTCAATTTCTGAAAATGTTTTTTATGGTATTTTATGGTATGTCTTTTCATTTTTGTTAGTTTTCTCAAAAAACAAAAACAAAAAAACGATAAAAAATGAAGTAAATAAAATTACGGCCTTACAGCCATCAAAGGTATCCAGTGTTGGCAGAGACTTTATGGAATCCTCTGAAACAAGGTTAAGATGACCACAGAGAACATTTTTGGTGCATATGTCCCTAGATCAATGTTTCCTTGTGAGATGTGGGTGTATTATTGGTAGGCCATATTGTTAGTAGTTATTTGAATGTATTAAATCCCTTATATGCTAAATTAAAACGGCTAAATTCATATTCCTTAAAGAAGTTCTGACTCTTATTGCCTTTTTTTTCTGTGTTTTCCAGATCTGCTGCTTATATTTTACTATTGGAGAGCAATAGGAGACAAGTTTTTTGTAATCCACCACCTGGCAGCATTGTATGCTTACTACTATGTACTGGTGAGTTCCCTGTTGTCCCATAACAGAACATGCAGGCAAGATGGGAAAGAGACAACCAAGAGTGAGCAGTGGTAGTGTCAGGTGTGCAGCTGGTGCTGAAAGCTCTGTGTTCACTGGCTGACGCTCCACCACACGAGCGTTCCCTTATAACATAGCACTAAACTATAAACAGAGAAACAGGATGGTCAGAAGCTGAAAGTCAGTTTTTATTCCAAAAGGATTCATCTCATATGTACCCTATACGCGTATCCCATATATTTGACCTCATATGTGGCCTGTGACCTTCTCTGATTGTAAAAGTGTTTCAAGTCCAGAAAACATTTTCTTGTCCTTCACTTTACTTTTAACTAATGTATGCAAAGTCCTCATCTGTAGAAAAAATATATATATATTTGTAATATTAGAGGTAAGTCGTGGTTGACTAGCTATCCAACAACTAACTTGTTGATCATTTAAGTGGTTTACTAGTTTATCTATATTTTTTAAACAATGTAGATGCTTTAAATAGCACGTCGACCGCATGCATTGCTTTTTATTTATTCATCATTTATTAGTTTGCACAGTACAGTTGTTTTGAAAAAATTTTTAAAGCACTCATTACATACAAACACATTTAGGCTGATGTCTTTAAAAAAGATAGTCCAACTTTGAAAGCTTTTATGAATCTTGAGATTGAGTCATTCTGTCCAGTTTTGTTGTGCTCTGTCTAGTTTTGAACACAATAACCTCTCTTTTGTAAACAGCTTCTAAGAAATTATTTTGCTCATCCCTATTTGGCATATTCCTGGTTAAACATGGTTTCCAAATAGTTGCCAGCCCAGATCTTTAACCACTAGACTGCACCACTGAGGTCACTACTGTTCACTCTTGGTTCAGTTGTATGGTTACCCTCTAGGTCACCAGGTTCTGTAGCTGCCTATGGTTATGATGATGTTGATGATGATGATGATGGTATTTTTTGCATGGAATGCTCATTGACGGTTATGCAGAAGTCCATTTTCTCCTCCTCTACCTCACTGACCCACCTCAGCAACTCTATTGGTCAGTTCTGGCCAGCTTTCGGCCCAGACTGCACCAGATTGGATTGTGTGCATGTGTTGATGCTCTCTGCTCCTGTGGTGCCGTTGGAGGGTTTCCTGTGTGCATGCTCTGAAACCTTCCCCTGCTTTGAGCCGATCTTCCTCCTAAACTCTCTCTCTCTCTTCTAAAACCTAACATCCACGTCTCAACTGCAGGATGAGTAACAGCCAGAAAGCGCTTGTTTGTTGGGCTGATCCACACTAACGATATGGGAAGGTTTTGCTGAATAACAGGTTGATCTGGTCCTCAACTGAATTCTTAAATAACTATGCATTTAGTTTACATGTTGCACAGGTTATTACTTGTGCCTTTTGATAGAAATCAGTCAGAAATTAGTTAAAAATGAACCTAAACACTTAAAAAATTGCATCTGTTGATGCTCCGTTGTTTGGCATGGGTCATTCTGTAAAATGGGTTTTACAGAAAAAGTCAATAATGACAATAATACCAGACAAAGAATTTGTTGTTAATAGGTTCATAAATCAAAATAAATTATAATACATAGTATTGTCATTTCAATCTAAATTAATGTGTATTAATATACATATTGGGATGTAATTTCAGCAACGGGGTAATCGGGTTGATGCAATGTGACAAAACTATGTTGCTCCCTTTATAATCAACAAAGTTGATTTCCATTAAACACTATATGCTTTCACTATACTTTGCTCATTAATTACTCATTTATTACAATTATTTATAATTTATTATAAAATCATTCAAAATTATTATAATTATTATAGAATAATTGAAAAAAAGCAGAAAATCATTTTTAAAAAATATTTTGCTGATGGTTTTTATAGAGGTAAAATTGTAAAATCTCAAATTAAATCTAAAAAAGATTTAAGAACTGAAAAGATTTATGAACTTGTTATATATTACGTATGTCAGGACACTATATATATTTACACACACACACACACACACACACACACATATATATATATATATATATATAATTAATAAATGAAATAAAATAATTAAATTTAACAAATATTTTGAATATTAATATACCTTATAATAACTACATATGCTATTGAATGAAATCTTAAATTTAATAAAGTTATTAAAAGCTGTTAATTGTTAAAGTCATTAATAGATTAGAGTGACCTGACATGTTAACTTGTCATGCTTGCACGGTATGTGTTTACTAAATGCACGGATGGTTAAAAACAAAAAAAAGTGTGATCGAATATACTGTACCATATTATTACTTAAGATCAGCTGTAATTCTGCCATCTATCTTGATAATTATTTCATTTTAGTCACATATATATTGTGCACCTCTAGTCAAACAATACATACAACAGGCACTCAAAAGGCACATGTTTTGCAGAATGACCATGACAAATGATGTTTAGTGGCCTTGTTTAGTGTCTTAGCATGTTAATTTCTGAAAATCGGCGCCACAAAAAAAAACCCATTCCTAAAAATGCATCTGGGGCAGCGACTGATGATATTAATGGCTTTACTGTTGCTTATATACCCTACAGTTACCTTGCACTGATTTAATGCAGCCTTGAGGATCGCCTCAAACCTGAACGTGCATTTTGTTGTCAGGATGTAGACCATACTGTCACTGGTCACTTTTATGACTGCCATTTCAAGCCTTTTTCTAAATTATTACAAGATAATCGAGGTAATTTAACGTGGAGCTGGAAGTCTCTGTTGGGTCTCACTGAGTAATTAAGTCTGTCGTTGGAAATGTCATTCGTTGTTATTGTTTCCTGTGTTTAGAAAGGCTATTAGCGTTAAAACCAGAACGTTTTAGTGTCTTTTTGTTAATTACTGCAGACTACATTCCAATATCCGCCTTATTTTTAGAACAGTATAATAAACCCCATCAGTCTTTTCAGTGTTTAATAATTGTGCTTCATCTTAAGAGCAAAGCGTTTCGCTATATTTAGCACTGACACATAACCTTTAACGGTCTATCAAACTGTTACAGGCATTTTTTTTTTAGAAGTAGAATAAAATCGAATTAATTTGTCAGTGTGTCGTGCGATTTGTTTCTCATAGTGCATGTCCAACGAGTCTTAAATGTTGTTGCTGCTTCTGTGTCGTTCGATCTTTTTGCATTTTTTCTGCACCTTTTTTCCAAGAATCTGTCTGTCAGTCTGTCTCTGTCCCACCTAACATGACTTCTTGAATAACGCAGCCTCACTTCCTCTGACCAGCAAAACCCTTCATGCAAAAACTACCAGTGTCACTGTTAGTCGGGTTAAGAGATGAGGGCTATAGGCTTGGCTGATCTAGATGGACTCTCTCCTGTCTTGTCTGCTGTCCTGCTGTTATGGAACTCTGAGCAGTTACTGAAGCCCAGTTACAGTATGGACTTACCAGTACCTAGGGGTACCAGCATGCATCTGCTAGCCAACCTGATTATTATTTTTTATCCTTGATTTTTATATGGCCCGTTTTGCAGTAAGTATGCTAATGTGTGTTTTAATTGCAGCCCTCAAGGTAAGTGTGTTATCGAGAAGCCAGATGTTTATTCTCTTGCTGTAGGAATGATAATGTCAAAACTGGTTTGGAGAGGAACGTTTGATTGGAACGGGTCTGAATAATCCTCGCTTTGCAAGGAAAAGCTGTAAAGGGCTTCATTCTCTGACAGAACGTGCATGGCTGACCATGCAGGGAGATCTAAACGTCTGATACCACATTAAAAATCTGGGATTTTATTTGTATCTAACCTAGAAATAAATTATTAGCATTTTGGAAATGTTTTAACATGCTTAAAATGAAAAGTTTAACTAGAAATTAAAATTCTGTCATCATTTACTCTATCCCCACTTGTTCCAAACCTGTATACGTTTCTTTCTTCTGTTGAACACAAAAGAAGAATGTTGGTAACCAAACAGGTAACCATTGACTTCCATAGTATTTTTTTTCCCCGTACTATGGAAGTTTGGTTACCAAGATTCTTCAAAATATCTTCTTTTGTGTTTGGAACAGCTTGAGGGTGAGTAAATGAGAAGAGAATTTTCATTTTTGGGTGAACTATTTCTAGGTCATGGTTAAATAAATTTGACATTGATTATGTGAACATCTTTGTACAGATGGTTAGAAGTTCTTGCTTCCATTGAAGCACAAGATGTTCTTTAGATCATTCTAAAATCATGCTGAAATATTTGATCATCAGATTTTACATCAACTTGTGGAAATCATGCAGCTTAAGAGCCGCTGTATTTAAAGCAAAAAGGAGGACAAATGAAATACGAAGAAATTCTGAAATTCATTAATTTTTTAATTGAATGTTTCACTTTAGTTATGTAATAAAATACATTTTAATAGATATGATATTCATTTCTGTAGTTATAATTTGTAGTTAAGAATTCAAATGAGAAGATTTTCCACTAGTGGTTTCAGACTTTTGGACTCCACTGTATGTGCCTGACGATATGTGGCTTATTTGAAATGCGGGTTGTACATGCATTGCAAGTAAAAAAAAAATTGTAAGTCATTTATAACCTCTACATATTCACTAAAAATAATCTAAATATAGACAATAAATACTGAAGGGCATTATTTTTATCTTAAAATAAATCTTATATTAATAGAAAAACTATTTCCGTGCAACCCTTTTTCTATTTTTTACATTTTTTTGTTTTGTTTACTTTGCTCTTTTGTTATTTCTGTCAGAGTGAAGTATCATAACTCGGCACTGAAGCAATTACTGTGGGTGCCTGACAAGCAGGAGATATTGAGACTGTTGGAGCTGATTCATGAGTCTGTGCTTTTCTATAACTCGTGTCCGTGTCATTGTTTGTTCTTCACCTTGTGTTTCCAGGGTCAAGGAATGTTGCCTTATTTTGCTAACTTCCGTCTGCTTGCAGAGTTTTCCACACCGTGTGTAAACCAACGGTAGGTATTTGACTGATTAAAGTACAAAATATTTAATGGGCGAACTTTGTAGTTTTGCCCACCATATACGTCTTGAAGCCATTAAAGACAACATGAGATCTGAACTAACACTATGTACTTTCTTAAGTGTTTCTGGTTATATTATGCACGATTTATTATTATGATTTTAAATGATTATTGTAGACATTTATGTCTATAGGCTAAAGGGCAGTGAAAAATACTTGGCTATAAGATCTTGGCTTATTTTGTTCTAATTGTAACAACATTTCCAGCATTATTTGTTGCTTTAGCATTATTTGTTATTTGTCTGTCCTTGCCTATAGTAAAAATATAATTAGACAAAAGCATAGCCAATCTGCACATGACCAAGGAGATTTCACTGTGGGTTCACCCAAAAAGGAAAATTAGCTGAAAATGTACTCTCCCTCAGGACATTCAAGACGTAGATGAATTTGTTCCTTCATCTGAACAGATTTGGAAAAATTCAGCATTACATCACTTGATCACCAATGGATCCTCTGCAGTGAATGGGTGCCGTCAGAATGAGAGTCCAAACAACTGATAAAAACATCACAATAATCCACAAGTAATCCATGCCACTCCAGTCCATCAGTTAACATCTTGTAAATCGAAAAGCTGTGTGTTTGCAAGAAACAAATCTAGCTTCTGGCCAAAATAATCAATAATAATGCTTTCTCCAGTGAAAAAGTCCATCCTCTGTTGACTTCTCACATTAAAATCCTCCCAACATGTTTGTTGCATATCTGTGCATATTTCTATTTTGATTCAGACAGTACCAACTGTTTCACTGGAAAAATCAATATTATGGATAGAGGACTTGTATTTTAGCCAGAAGCAAAAAAAAAAATCTTAATTTTGAGTTAGAAACTCACTACTTTTCGCTTCACAAGATGTTAATTGATGGACTATTGTAATGTTTTTATCAGCTTTTTGAACTCTCATTCTGACGGCACCCATTCACTGCAGAGGATCCATTGGTGAGCAAGTGATGTAATGCTAAATTTCTCAATCTTTTTCGAGGAAAAAACTAACTCGTCTACATGTTGGATGGTCTGAGGGTGAGTACATTTTCATTTTTGGTTGAACTGTTCCTTTAAATGTGTTTCAAATGCAATTTTATGTTGTCTTTAATAAGAAATGACACAAATAAATGTTGTGATGGTACTGTAGATTAGTTTACAGCATGTCACTTTGCTCACCTGTGTTTTCCAGCTGGTTCTTTGAAGTATTAGGTTACTCCAAAGCATCCAAGCCCAACATGACTAACGGGGTACTGATGGCGGTCGTGTTTTTCCTGGTGCGGATCGCCGTCATGCCGGTATACTACAGCCGAATGTGCTCCGTGTACGGCACGGAGGCCTTCTACAAGGTCTCCTTCGGCGGCCGAAGCGCTTGGATCTTCTCCAGCATCTGCCTGGACATCATGAACGTCATGTGGATGCATAAAATCGCCCGCGGCTGCTACAAAGTCCTGCGTTCCAGCCGGAAATCTAAACCCAAGAGCCAGGAGAACGGAAAAACCGATTGAGTGAAAAGAAAGGGCATTCGAATTTTACACCACTTGCTCACAGACAGGGTCGTTGTCTTATTGACGGTCTTCATGGGACACTATGGTATGATAGTGACCGGTAAAGACTTTGAAAACCACCCCAGAGCAATATTTCAGAGTTAAGACCCGAAACTCTGACAAAATGTCAAACTGAGAAGAGATCTAGTGCACCAGAAAAGACTGGCCGCCCACTTTTATTTTGTGTTTGTTTTGAAACTGTACACCAAAAGTGCAAATGATGCACTGTTCGAGATCACCGGCTGAACTGTATTTTAACCCTGTTTGGTTTTAAATTTAAACTGTGGGCAGGTCAACCACATTATTTATTCATCAAAGTTCAGTCCCTCGCTCTCAAATCACTGTACTGTGCAAAGGGGCCAAGCGGTCAGTCACCTGATGTTCACGTTTACTTCAAAGCCGCGTATATTGACTGTGAAAGATTCATCCACACAACTGCACTGCACTAAATGAGGAAAATCAGTGTACTCGAGAAGAATCTCTTGGAAAATTAATGTCACGTACTTGTGGTGTATTAGATATTTTATCGAATGCACCGATGAGATCCAACTGTGGGGAAATATTTTATATATACAAGATGTGAGCAGTGGTCGCATTAATACGGAACTGTTTTTAAGAATGAAACCTGTTTACACTCGCTCCAGATTCAGTTCAGATTTCGCTCCGCTCCCATGAAACGGACGTCAGGCTTTGTTCGCACTGTACAGTTAATTGCATGCGGCGATGTTGTTCTCTGAATGTTTGCATTGTACATAGAAATTTTATTGAACATACGGTAATTATTTTAACTACGTTGGTGTACAGTGTAGGCTATCCGATCAATACTGAATGAAATGATCGATTCTGATTTGGAAATGGTTTTAAAAGGAAGCGTAGCTCGTGAATGTTCGAGGACTTTCTCAACGTCGGATCGTTTTCCTGCATCGTACCTAATTTATTGAACCAGTTTTGCACTGGGACAGCATGATAATGTTTGTACGGCATATTTATTGTTTTTTAACGGAAAGGTATAAAAGTCGTCAATGCATCTGAATAGATATACAGCATATGAGAGATACTTTTATGAATTCATTTTAAAATTCATTGTCACTATGATGAATTTATATTCATACCATACACGTGCATTCAGTGGATGTGAGCACATGAGTTTTATTGATTTAAAATGTATGAAAGAGTTCGAGATGGCTTACAGCGATTTGCGTGGAAACAATTTTAAAGCGGTTCTGTTTTTAATGAACTAAGTACTTGAATTTTGAAATGCGTTATTTCTGAGAGCCAGACCTATGAAGAATTGTCTTTACTGGCACGAGATATACAGGAATCCATGTTGTAATTATTATTATTATTTTATTTTTTTTGCCTTCGTATTCAATCACTCAAAATGCCTTTTTTGTTTCGTTAAATAAACATCTTTTATTTACTTTTTCTAGTGTCATTTTGTACCACATGGTTCATTGTATGGTCATGTAAGGAATGTATGTATGACTATCACTTTGATTGTTTTATCTTTTTAGTTCTCACCAATGTTCCAACCAAAGCTAAAAAGTAAGGATGGCTGTTCTTAATCGTCCATATTAAGTAAATGGTGGCACAACAACATAAAAACCCAGTTGGGTGAACAGACATGCATTGTTATACTGTACATGTGTAATCTGAAATAAGCATAGTAAAAGAAGGGAAAAGTTCATCCAGTGTAACTTTTAAAACCTTGCAGGTAATTTCCAAGGAAGCACTGAATTATGAATCTATAAACTGTTAAATTTCATTTAAGATGTCTTTTTTTTTTATGGTCAGAACAATATTGAATTTAACTTTTACTAAAAGTCTTTTCAATGCATAAAGTTCCAAACCTTCAGTGTTCAGAATTAATGCTTAATTTATGGAATGTGAAAATGCACAATATCATGACTGTGTGTTTTTATTACTGAAGCGTTCCATACACTAATGTCACAGGAAATTGTTGCCATGTAAAGGTTTACATTTGTTACTACGGTGAGCACAGGATCATCTTCCCATTATACGGAAGGAAAGTGCATGTAGGCCTATCTGAGGAATGACAACAGCTATTTTTGAACGTTTGTTTAATTTTTCACTTTCGTTATGCCATTTGCCTCAATAAAGCAATATGTTCATTTTGATCCATGATGATTGTGTATGTCCTTTTTAAGGTGAATCCTTTGTTTTGGTTCATTTCAATATCTTGAGTATTAATTTATTAGAATTTAATTGGTTATTATTCCAACTGACTTACAGTTTTAGTGCGCACAGATTACAATTTGTTAAATGTATATTCAACAGAAGAAAAATAAAAAAGCAAAATTTCCATTTACATAGTACCAACCAAGCTTTCACAATCTAATTAATATTTATGAGCTACGCATTCGTCCCGCCCCGCTCGCAGTGCATGCTGGATGAAGCGGAAGTAGCGGGGCACGTTGACATTGCGGAGCGTCCGATCCACACATTACACTCACAGAAAGGTGAGTTTAGCTGTCATATTTGTAAACATTTATTGATCGATATCATTATATTAATATAGTTAAAAATCTGGTTAGGTTTTAAAGAAGGTGCTTTAGAGAAATATGTGGTTTGCTATTCCGTGACATTGTTTAACATGACTATGAATGACGTTATATAATTTATTTTGTAATTCTTACATTTTGGGATTGGTAAAAGTCGATTTTTTTAACATGGTATATAAATTATTAAAGCTATTTATTTTAGATGTGTTCTCACTGACAGTATAGTATTTTAGCCCGTATATCTCTTAAAAGATTAACTGTTATGTCAACGTAAAACAACATGCAAAGTTGTTCCAAATTTCTATGAAATATAATACTGTATAATGTACTTTTTTTTTTGGTAAACAGCTGAAAAAATGACTATAATAAACACGCTATAACAGTAGTTCATACCACATATTCCAAGTCATATGAAACCTTATGATAGCTTTGTGTGAGGAAAATATATTTTTGCGTATATTCATATATGGTACATCAAACTGTTTCACATAAGGTTGTACTGTTTTATAATACTTATATAGTCCGTTTTTTGACACAAGTCATTTTTTTTGTCAGAAGAAAGAAGTCCTACAGGTTAGGAACAACATGAGGGTGAATAAATGATGGATTTTGAATAAGTAGATTTTCTATGAACAGCATAACACAAGTAATGATGCAACAGGATCTACTTGACCTTCAGTGTTCTTGATCTATTGATCTCTTCAGGATTGGTGTTCATCATGGGTGCATCTGTATCCAATCTTGCCCCAACTATTCAGGCAGAGTCTGCGATGTCAGCTCCTCATTTTAGTGGGGTGTCCCCACCTTCTGGGTGTCCCATGCATCAAGAGCCCCCTAAAAGTGAGTCATGCACCATCTGTTATCATGAGCTTGATATCAGTGGGTTTTATGTAATAATTATTCACAATGTGTAATATAAACCCAGGCTCTCCGCCTCCTGAGTGCCCCATGCATCAGGCTCAGACGCCACTGGCCGGCCCAGCGCATCAGGAGAGAGCTTATGAGTTTGTCGAATGTCCCATGAAAGCTTCTGAAGGAGGCATCGATCCCACAAACATGGTGAGCTGGACATCCCATCATTAAGATGATGCTCTTTGAGATTCTTTTGGCTTATGTGTGTTAATGTTGCTTTTATATGTCCCACAGATGCCCCCTCCAAATCAGGTGCCCACCCCGGACCAGCCATTCTCTCTGTCCGTGAAAAGAGAGGAGTCTAAAATCCCACGATCAGGCTCAGGCCAGAACTGGGTTTATCCTTCTGAACAGATGTTTTGGAATGCAATGCTGCGGAAAGGGTGAGTTTACCTTTATGTTTCTATTCCTAAATCTATGTTTTACAACCAGACACGTGTCCTGTTTATGTTTTGGAGAGCTCTAAGTGGACCAGATATGCCATTTGGCTTAGCTTCAGGATGCTTGTGAGTGCTGTAACTTGATTACCTAGATAGAAAAAAACAGTATTATTTTCCAAGGTCAAGAAACTCCAACTCCACATTAGGGCTGTCAAAAAAAAATTTGAATTTCGAATATTCGTCGAATTTAAAATAAAAATCCACATTCGAATGCAAAAACGTTGCATTCGAATTGTAGGTGTGCGTTAAAGAGGCAACCTTATCAGTGGCGCACGAGATGCGATGACGATATAAGTGTCGTTGCATTTTAATGTTTTTGTTAACCTATCCAGTTGAAGCCACTAGATGCGGCGCTGCTGCGTTGTTAATTACAAATATTGCGGGAAAAGAGAACATCAATGCGGAGATCTTGTTTACGTCAAAACTGAAACCAAGCCGTTCGCACAGAACGGATATTTCGTGCATTTTCTAGAGGGACGTCTATTATCATTGCACTCGC